AGAGAGAGAGAGAGAGAGAGAGAGAGAGAGAGAGAGAGAGAGAGAGAATTCCTTCCCTCTGGGAGCCTCCATTCTATTGAAGGAGATAGTGTGTACACATATAAGTATGTAGAAAAAAAATACAATGTAATTGGCGGTGGGGCAGGGGATAATGGCTACATGTTGTATTTGTACTGATGCTTGAAAGAAACTAGGGCATTTAAAGATACAGGTGGAGAAAGTGTGTGTATCAAGCATGGGGGACAGCCTGTGCAAAAGCTCAGAGGTAAGAGATTGAGGGTCATGTGTGAGGAACAGCAAGAAGGCTAGTTTGGATGGACCATGGAATACATTAATAATAACAACAATAATAATAACTAGGATTCACATAATGCTTTAAGGTTTGCTTCACATGTTTTCTCATTTGATTCTCCCAACCACCCTGGGAGATGGGTGCTATTATTATCCCCATTTCACAGATGAGGAAACTAAGGCTGAATGAAGTTAAGTGATTGGCTCAGGACCCCACAGCTAATAAGTGTCTGAGACAGGATTTGAACTTGGGTCTTCCTGGCTCCCAAGTCTGGGATTCTAACCATTGTGGCACTCACCTGTCCATGAAGGGAAGTAAGGTATCAGAAGCCTGGAAATTCAGGTTGGAGCCATGTTGTGAAAGGCTTTAAATGACAAATAGAGTAGGTTATTTGTCTTTGATCCTTGAAGTTAGCACGAGCCGCTGGCATTGATTGAGCTCAGGAACAATACCAGAGAATGTTCCTTTGGCTGCTGTGCAGAGGATGAGCGATGAGAGAGGGAAGAGAGCAGAAAACAGCTCTCCTCTCCCTCCCGGGGCCTTTCTCCTCTAGGCAGCTGGCACCCGGGCTGTAGCGTGCAGTCATCACTGTGTAGTTAGAATCTTTCATCCAAGGCCTCCTTTCCCACTTCTGGGAAATGGCCCATCAACCTCTCTCCTCAAAGACACTGGAAGAGTTAAAAAATAAAATCAAAAGTAGCCCAGCCTGTGAGAACCAGCTGTCTTAAGAGCAGGGAGTCCATCCTGTTGCCTACCTTTTATAGCTGGTGATTATTACTTGCAATAAAACATCTGTAGGTGCCCTGGCGGCCCGATCTTCATTTGCTTGCTGGAGTTCTCAAGTGGGGTGTCTCTCCATCATTGTATTGTTCCCCTGTTAGATGGCCTAGATGGAACTGGACAGTTTTATGAAAGAGATTGAGAAGTCAGGAGTTTTCTTGATGGTCTTGAGAGGAGAATGACTGTTTAAACCTTGCAGAAACCAGGGAAAACAAATTGTTTGGCTATTTCCAAAGTCATACCGTGCTCTGTGATTAAAGTCTTACAGCTCCGCTCTGAGTCACTGTGGATTTTGTTATCCCCTGAGGGCTGATGAAATGGGATGACAATTATAGGGGAAATCTCCCTAGGAACGGGCCTCCTCCCAGTTGTTTGAGAGCTGGCAGGAAGGATTCGGAATTGGGTTAGGATGGCTCAGTGTGAATTTCTCGAAATTAAAAACCAAAAATGCCTGAGGATGACTTAACTTCTTTTCTTAAACCCATTGCGAGTTGTGCCTTCCAAGAGAAAACAGACCTTTGTATCCCTTACTGCCAGGCAGGGCAATAATGGAGATTTGGGAGCTAGGAAGTCAAGTCACAAAGGAAAGGATGTCCTCTGCCCTGGTCAGATCCCATTTTGTTATGTATGGAAACCGGCGAGCCTCCAGGAGGGACAACCAGCCCTCATTCAATCAATGAGTCATAGATCATAATATTATCATTATATCATAAATGATATATCTGTTATAATAAAAATAACAATAGCTAGCACTTAGGTAACACTTTAAGGTTTGCAAGGCATTTTACAAATATTATTTCATTTTCTCTTCATAACAACCTAAGGAGATCAGTGCTATTAATATCCCCATTTTACAAATGAGGAAACTGAGGAGGAATGAAGTTAAGTGACTTGCCCAGGGTCACACAACTGGTAAGTGTCTGAGGCTGGATTTGAACCCAGATCTTCCTGGCTCCAGGCCTAAGCACTCTATCCAATGTGCTACCTAGTTGTCTCTAGAGGGCTATGGGTGTGGCATGTTAATCTCTAAGAACAGAGGCGCAGAATCCTTGCTATCTCCTTCCCCTCCACCCTCCCACCTCCATATAACTACAGGGTTTATAAATAACCTACTAAGCATCAGTGGAACACCCACTCATATGAAAAGATACAAGGAGACATATGTTTGCTCCTCATCCTTGGGTCTCAGTTTTGATCTGTTTCTGGGAAATGAAATCATACCTGTAACTGTAACCCAGGAAATTGTCTGAGCCTAGACCGTATCTGTAGACCTATTTGGAATAGCCCACGGGAAGTGGAATCTGTGCCATGTTCTATCGAGGCAAACGAAGGGAAATGAACCTTTTGCAAATGCACCAATCTAGAGTAATGCAGCCTTTGAGGACACCAATCATCAGTAAGTCTGATAAAAATAAAAACAGGGTTTAATGGAATTCCTTTCACATCTGGAGCTGTCCTCATGGACTCTTGTTAGTCGACTCTTCTACCCTCCTTCCCTTAGACAAAGGTTCCTAGTCTAATCAGACTACATCAGTTGAGCCGCATGACCTCGGGGGTCCCTCCCAACTCTGAGCTATGCTGTTGCTGAGTACTGGTCGTGCCTCTTGATTTTAGCATCTCCAGTCCTCCCAATATTTGTCAGTTCTTATTAAGTCATTTCAGTTGTTGTCCGACTCTCCATGACCTCATTTGGGGTTTCCTTGGCAAGCATAAGAAAGTGGTTTGCCATTTTCTTCTCTAGCTCATTTTACAGATGAGAAAACTGAGGCAAACAGGGTTAAATAACTTGTCCAGGGTCACACAGCTTGTAAGTGTCTGAGGCCGGATTTGAACTCAGAAAAATGAACCTTCCAGATTTCAGGCCCGGCGCTCTATCTGCTTTGCCACCTAGCTGACGTTGGTGGCTCTAGATTTTCCCTATTCTGGTAGGTCAGGCGATTGGCTAATCAGATGGTGACCTCTTCTTGGCTTAGCAGGGAAAGTTAAAGGGGTCCCCCTCTATGTAACTAGAGGTACCTGGCTTCCACAAAATAGTGTCTCCTGGTATCCGGCTAACTCAATTCATTTCAGCAAACATTTACTAAACACCTACTATATGCCAGGCATTTCACTGGACGCAAGAAACACAAAACCAGAAATTAAATAGTTGCTGCCCTCAAGGAGCTTGTATTTCTACTGGGGGTATTCACAGATATTCAGGTAAGCAGTTAGTCAATCAATAAACATTTATTAAGCACCTACTATGTGCCAGGCACTGTTCTAGGTTTGGGGGGGGGGACACAAAGACAAAAAAATAAAATTATACTCTCAGCTTCTGTTCTATTCCGTGTGCATGCTGGTTATTAGCTCGATCTGCTAGGTAACAGAGATTCTCACCTGGGGACTCTGCCCTTCCCAGGCTTCCACCAATCGGAAACGAGTGGAAAACATCGCCAAGAAGAAACTGGACTCACTGATAAAGGAATCCAAAATCCGAGACTGTGAAGACCCCAACAACTTTACCGTCTCCACGCTGCCTTCCTCAGGGAAGCTTGGCCGAAAGGCCGAAGGCAAGAAGGTGAGCCTTGCATTATCTCTTTCTCCCGAACCTCCTCAGGCCCCGTCCTTCTGTCCCTCGTTGTTTCTTCCTTTTGGGTCCTTGATAAACCTGACTCTGGCCTCTTCACCCTTGTCTTTGCAGAAATTTGCTTCTCTGGGTGCCTCAGCCACAGACAAAGCTATGGTGAGTCTCACCTCCTCCGCTGCGTGTCCCTCTTTCTTGGCTTGAGATGTGTCTTGGTACAGTGGACAGAGGTCCTGGACTTAGGAAATCTATGGGGTCCAATAACTAACTGTGCCATTAGGGAGAAGATGTTTCATTGTTCTGAGCCTCAGTTTTCTCATCTGGAAAATGGACATAATAATATTGGACATACCTACCTCATTGGAAGACTAAATGAGTTCGTGTTTAGAAGCCCTGTACATTCAAAGAGAGTTAAATGCAGGATGTCCCAGAAGTCTTTGTATAAAGGCTACAAATTTACCCAAAAAAATCCTTTGAAAGTTTGATTATTTATATTTCTTTTACACATATTTAGATTTATGAATTTTGGATAGTAAATGTTTATTTTAACAAGATGTACACCAATATCATCACACCTTGTGTGGACAGCAAGTTACTTTCTCCACCCCGTGCAGGGACAGAGGAGGTCCTCATGCTCAACCACCACTAGACTTTTGCTTGTGGACTCAAGTCCAAACTGTCACATACGCATCAAAATCTCATTCTTTGCATGATCTCAAGACCAGGATTGCAAAGGCAGGCATTTGTCACTTAGTAGTGGCTGGTGAAAACTTTTACAAAGATTTAAAACTGGCCAGAGTGATTGCCAGAGTTTTACTGTAAAATGGTCAAGCATCCCTGGAGTGATATATAGCACAAAGTGGTGGTTAGGGTGAACATTAATTTAAAAAATGACTATTTTTAAAAATTTAAGTAATTAACCTTTCAAATATTGGTTTTTTTTCATTTGTAGCATTTATTCTTCTAAAGCTATTAAAGCTTATAAACCACACTGATGTTTTTGGGATATCCTATATCAATTTCTGCTATTACTGCTTCTTCCTCTTCTTCCTCCTCCTTCTCTCATTCTTCCTTTTCAGAGAGTCCTCACCTTTCCCTTCACCCTCCATTCTGGTACTTAACCTAGATGTGGGGGTTAGCCTTCTAAGGCAAATATAAATGACAATCAGTGTCCGAGGACAGAACTCCGGCTGAGGCCTGAGACAGAGCCCAGCTCACTGGCCTCCTGTGGTGTGGCCCAGCTATGCAGCTACCTGCCTGGCATTGTGCTTGTGAGATGTCTATTTAGCAGGAATCAGAAAGGGCCTTTCTCACAGCCTCTCTGAGGTCTCGCTGCACGTGGGCGATTCTTTGGAGGAGTGGATCTGAGGTGGATGAGAAGAGAGGGGGCTAATTCTTGTTTGGATTCCCCCAGCTTGCTCAGGTCAAACCCAAGTCCTTCTGACTCCAAATCCGGCATTCCTCCCCCTATAACATGCTGCCTCCTAAGTCTCTAGCCCGACTTCGCTCTCTATAACACAAACATTGCAGCTTTCTAGGGCTGTGTGTGAGGGTGGCTTGTTCTTGGGTGGGGCGGGGGCTGTGGGGAGCATGCTGGGTCGACTCCTTCCCAGCAAGCGGCCAGATTTCCATCTGGGTGAGCGAGTGTCTGACCAGCTCCCCCCACGCCCACACCCATCCATGCACACACCTGACCGGCTGTTGTAGATGGAGGACCCAGAGAGGGAAGGAGCAGAGGTGGCCCCCAAGGGGTGTAGCCCAAGTGACGCCATGGCTGTACCCTCCACCTAGGTCCCGATTATTTTTAGAGCCATCGATCGTTTGGGTTTCCACCCACATGGCATCAAGCCACGGCACAGCTGATGCCACGCAGAAAACTCTGAGAAATTCACTATTTAAGGCTGCTCCCAGTGTGTGTCTCATGTTTATTCCTGCTGCTCATTGGGGGTGCTTTATTTTTAATACCCGGGCATCTGCGTGGAGGAAAACAGCACCTTTTGTTGGCAGGGCCCATCTGCTTTTGAGGCCAGTGATGATCCCTCACCATGGCTCCTGTGAGCGAAACCCAGATGAACCATAGGGCTGATCAGCCTTCACACCTGGTAATAAGAATACGGCATAGTCGCTGATTAAGCCAGCCTGCATCACCATGGAATGTGGTTTGCTTCACTTTCCAATCCTTTGCCTTAATGAACATGTATTGAGCACCCACGGTGTACAGAATATAATCCTTTGTCGGACCACGCTAAGAGGGAGGAAGGAATTGATTCATTGGTGATAATGATAATAATAGCAAGAATTTATGGAGTGCTTTAAGGCTGGTCAAGTACATTATAAATATTATTTCATTTTTATTTTCACAACAACCCTGGAAGGTAAGTGCTAATATTATCCCCATTTTATGGATGAGAAAACTGAGGCAATTTAAGGTTAAGCAACTCGCCCAGGGTCACACAGCTAGTAAATGTTTTTTATTTAGGTCTACTAAATACAACTGAAGAGGGCTCTGGTATAGACAGCCAGCCTCTGTGTCAGGAAGATGAGTTCCAGTCTTACCTTTAACACTTACTGACTATGTGGCCAGGAGTAAGACACTTAACCTTGTAATGTAGCTAGACAATATTCCAAACATGTAAACTGCAGAACAGTTCCTGACCCGGTGAAGGGAGTTTCCTCTCAGGGAGGGCCCCCCCCAGATGAAATCACAAATTTGGTCCAAAAAGGTACCAGGGACTAATGAACCAAAAGGAAAATGAACCAATCCCTGCCTTCAAGGTACTTACCTTCTATTGGGGGGAGGCAAGAGAGGCAGGGGAAAGAATGGTGTGCAGAGACAGAGAAGTATGAGGTGGGGTCTCTTTCCATGCTCCCGAAGTCCACAGTCCAGCTACAGGGAGCAAACAGAGACATACGGAGTCTTTATCATAGAAGAACAGGCAGCGTGCCACCAAGTGGGGAAATTGCCTATACAGAACAGTAGAGCTGCTGGATTTCTGAGGCAGGCATGTCTGCATGAGCCGGCATAGTCAGGGCGGGTGTCCTGGAGGAGGTGGTCCCTGCCTTCGGCCTTGAAGGATGGGCAGGATTTTAACACTTTTAAGTCTCCTCCGTGACTAGTTCTTGAAAGGAACAATTCAGGAGAAATCCTCAGAGCCCTGGAATCTCAGGACTAACAGGGGTAAATGAGATGATGAGGCGGCAGTGAGACTTGTGGGTAAGGCAGGGAGGATGATTAGTGAAAATGCTCCTGGAAAGGGGAAGTATTTGGCCCCTAACACCTAGGAGGGGCTGCTCTGGAGACAGCAGCTATATTCAAATCCCACCTTTGATTGTTATTATGTGTGTGTCCTCTGGCAAATCTCTAAACCTACCTGGGCCTCCTTGTCTGTAAAGTGAGGGACTTAGGTTAAATGGATGCTAAGATCCCTTCCAACTCTAAATCTATGATACCATGAACTTATTATTACCTTGTGACCTCGGGTAAAGTGCTAAATCTCTCTGGGCCTCAGTTTCTCCATCTGTAAAGTAGGGGTGGGGGGAGTGGACAGAGGCAACATAAGTAATGGCTGATAGCTAGCCTCAGAGCCAGGGTTTAAGTCCTAACTTTTGACACACTTTGATCATGTGACCCTTGGGCAAGCACACTCTGTGCCTCAGTTTCCTCATCTGTAAATTAAGGGACTTGGAGTAAATGTACTCTAAGATCTAAGATCTCAGGAATCTCTAACATTCCAGCTTTAAATCTCTGACATATGACTTGATTTCCCTCCTAGCTCTAATTCCTTGATCCTAGGAACCTCCACGTGGACAGATTTATCAGATGCCATCAGTCAATGACTGTGCTGTAGTTACTCACAAATTGAATACCAAGTACTCTGGCTCCCTGGCCCCTTTGAGGTTCCAATGCTAAGCATGTCTGATGTAGGTTGTGGGTGATATTTGCCTTTGAAAAGGGCAGAGTGCAGAAGTTCAGCTGGAAACATCCCTCTGAGAAGGGCAGGGGGCAGATCTTCCCCATCATCATGTTTGGTGTGGGTGCTGGGCTGACCAGATTGGGCTCTGCAGCCAGTCGGAGAAGAGATACTATCCCCTGCCAGCACTCAGTGTTTTTCCTCCTTTAATTATGACAAATATTTATAGGCGTCTTAGGTTTTCAGTAACTTCTGTGTTCCAAGCAATGTTTAAAGGGTAGTGAGGCATGTAGGACTGAGTGCTTTCATAATAAGCCATCAATATCACTTTCAGCAGCCTTTTTTTTCCTGCCCTGAGTGCTCATCAATAAATTAGGGAGAAAATGGGCTAGCTCTTCTGTGGCAAGAGAGAGAGAAATAGAGAGAAACAAAGAGCAACAGAGACAGAGAAGAGAGAAAGGAGAGAGACAGAGAAAGAGAGAGAGGGAGGGAGAGAGAGAGAGAGAGAGAGAGAGAGAGAGAGAGAGAGAGAGAGAG